GGGAAAAAAAGCTTTTTTTTTTTTTTTAAAGACAACACAAATGTGATCAAATCACAAATACAATCGGTAACAGAACCTGTACTGGGCAGAATGTGATTTTTTTTTTTTAAGGAAGTAAGTGTATGTTTTGCAACAGCATTTGAGCTAACCCATCTAACACACTTTGATAATAAAGCTCAAAGTGCCTGGACTATGCCTTCTTAAACTCGAAGCAGACCCTAAGGAAAACGTTATGCACTTAGATGTAGAGCACCGCTAAAGACTGACCACTTATTCCATCATATCACAGCAACTGTGTTACAGTTGTTAAAACAAGTGTAGCCTGCCTTACATAAGTGAGGTTCTCAGCTGGTACAAATTGACAAAGTCAACATTCTTAAGAGCTATCAAATCTTTCTTAAGAGAAGCTTAACTATTTCCAGTCAATAGGCCACCTATTATTGATCAATTAAAGTTATTAACAGTTATTGCTACAACTATTTCTCGCCAAGAGCATCATCTCGATGCTAAAACCCAAGCCGGCCTTTCATCACATATGCCGCAACTTTAAAAATATCCTTCTTATTTCCATATGCTATCAAGAAAAGTCGACTTCCCCCTCTTCACTTGGAATTAGAATTTTTCTCTCTTCACTCACACTCCAAGCGATACAAAGGCACAAGGAAGTCTGAGAATATTTGAAGGCACAAAAGCGTAAGAAAGTTTAGGTATTTGGTATTTCAACTAACTGGTTAACATGAGAGTAAAATTTAATTTTTTCAAAGAGCAATGTGGAATCCTTAGAGTACAAAATTCCATTCTTTAACCCAAAGTGGCCACAATAATATACCTGGGATTCATCTGTGTACCACATAAGAACAAAGTTTTTTGCAAATCCTGCTTGAACTTAAAATCAAAATGTTCCCAAAGTGTTTGGCTTGCCAGCGAGTTCTAAAATGTCTCCAAGATAATGCTCTTTAGCAAAGATCCCTTGATTTTGCATATATTACAACTAAAAAACCTACTGAAAGTATTTAAAAACTATTTTCCTGCTAAAATACTACATTCATTAAAGTTACATCCTTTTAAATATAAAGAATCAAACATTCTTCTACTGCTTAGCCAAGTTTATAAAGCTGTTCAACATCATAGTATCCAATAATTTTCAGGAAAAAAACAGGTTCAAAGAAAATCATAAACGTAATCAATATGCAAAATTAATAAATCAAGCACAAGTGCCATGCTTTAACACAAATTTCTGAATATCAGGATTGAGACTTAACAACACAAAGCGTTAAGTGCCCCACAGTAATTTGGATAAGTAGGTAGACAAATTGATGAATCCCGTGAAAGAAAAGCAGAATCAAAGAATGGTACAATGAGGGTTGAAATCTCATTTTATATATGAGAAAACTGAGACCCAGAAGGTTAAATAATATGTTCCACATCATGCAGTTAATGGTAGATCTGACCAGAATCCAAGCCTCCTAACTTTAAATCTAATGCTCTACCCACAACCAAAGGTGCCCTGCTGGTGCAGCGATGAAGCACTTGGCTGCTAACTGAAAGGTCGATGGTTTGAACTCACCCGCTGCTCCTTCAGAGAAAAAACCTGGCAATCTGCTTATGTAAAGATTACTCTGTCCATACAGAATAGACTTGATGGCACAAAACAACAACTCACAACTAAATACAACTGTGTATCCAAAAGTTTTAAATGTTCTTTTATAACTCCAGTGTCTTTATATTTTGCATTTAATTATGCTCTGTGTGGTATTCACTGACTGGTTAGAATATCCCTAACTTTAAAGTCATATTTTCAAATACCACACATGGGAAAAATCTCTGAAACCTGTAACAAAAGCATTCTACTTTTGAGAAATAGCTATACAATATGCCAAAAGTGAAGAGATTTCAAACTTCCCATAGCAACCTTAAAAATTAGGCCGAAACCTATTCTATCTTCAAATAAAACAGTTTGTTCCAACATTTCCACATAAATTAATATTCAATAGACAACTGTCAACACATATGTTCTGCAATCACCACTAAGCTCCAGATCCTGTTTCAGGGACAGTCACACTCATATATCCTCTCAGATCCATTCATCGTATCCACTAGTGGGAAAGGGGCAGTGGTGGTTCAGTGGAAGAATTCTCGAAAGACCCAGGTTTGATTCCCGGCTAGGGAACCTCACGCACAGCCACCACCCATCCGTCAGTGGAGGTCTGAGTGTTGCTATGATGCTGAACAGGTTTCAGCAGAGCTTCCAGACTGAGATGGACTAGGAAGAAAGGTCTGGCAGTTTACTTCTGAAATCAGCCAACAAAAACCCCATGGATCACAACAGTTCAATCTACAATCATGTGGCTGCAACAGGACCGGGCATTGTTTCATTCCATTCTGTCGTGCATGGGGTCACCATGAGTTGGGGGCCAACTCCACAGCAGTTAACAACTAGGGGGAAAGGGAAAAGGTGCTTTGGAAAGAATACTCCTCATCCCCTGATCCTTTAATATCAAATGTCATCCAAAAACTCTTTAAAAACATTTTTGTATCTATGACATCTCAATTGCTGAATCCAAAAACAATTTTCCTCTCTTTCACAAGGAAAAGGATCAGGCCCAGACCTGCCAACCAGAATATATATATCCTAGCATCTGACACATACATTTGTAACTAAAACCTTATTCCTTCTAAAATATGAGTCACATTTTTACAAAAACTCACAAAATCAGTTTCTTCTCTTTTAACAAGAAAACAGAAAATGATCTGGTATCAATTATAGATTATATTGTAAATGCGAACCAAATTAAAGCTGTCAATAATTAAAGTTTTACAATGTTAAAAACATGGCTTTTATGTAGCCATAAAATAGCTTAATATATATATCTACATAGAAGTGTTTCATATCCAGCCCTGGTATAAAGGATAATGTCTCTCCAGAAGCAAAGATCCATGGGATACACCTGTGATCGTACAAAACCAGGGTCTGTCTGGGTTTGGGCCCAAGTAATTCCTGATCTGACATCTTTGTAAAAACAACAACAACAACAAAAATTACAACCCGTTTCTTGACACAAAAAATGGATCATGCAACAACTATGGGCTTTCAAGGGAATTTTTAGTTTAAAAGAAAGTCACCAGTTGTTTTTATGGGTTTTACGGATGACTTTATGGCTTTGGAGCTCTGGTGGTGCAGTGGTTAAGAGCTTGGCTGCTAACCAAAAGGTCGGCAGTTCAAATCCAGCAGCCGCTCCTTGTAAACCCTAGGGGGCAGTTCTACTCTGTCCTATCAGGCCGCTATGAGTCAGATTCGACTCAACAACAACGAGTTTGGTTGTTTTTAATGACTCTGTGTCTGCCATAACCAAAAAATAAAAATAAAAACACCAAAATCCACTACGGTCAAGTCGATTCCAACTCACAACTACCCTATAGGGCAGCGTAGAACTGCCCCGTAGGGTTTCCAAGGCTGTAATCTTTACAGAAGCAGACTGCCACATCTTTACACCGCGGAGCAGCTGGTGGTTTGGAATCCAGACCTTTCGGTTAGCAGCCAAGCCCTTATCCACTGTGCCACCAGGGCTCCTGTTTCTGCCATAAAGTATTCAAAATGTTCATTCTCTGGTTTGAAAGGACCTGACCAGACACTGGTTTTGGAGTTCGCACTAGGCCAGAAACTGCACAAAGAAAAATCGAGGGGAAAATCCCTGACAGGGATCAGACGAACCTTCTTCTTTCCTTTCCAGAACTGGAAACATTCGAGTTTGGAAAGTCCCCCAGCAACACCGCATCTGCAACACTACAATGCTGCCTTATGTGTGAATTTAAACCGGTAGAAGTGGACCGGAAACAAACTCAAAGAAGGGAGAAAGGGCAGATGAGGATGCAGACTGGTCCAGAAACTCCGGAGTGCAGTAGGGAGGTTCACATTCGCACACATCCCAACCACTGCAGAGCTGCACGCTCCCCCTTGAAGTGGCACTATTGAGCTACGTAGGAAACACGGACGTTTCATTGAAGACTAAGTGTGAGTGAATCAAGAAGCCTGGTTTGTGCAGCTGCCAAAGCCTCCAGTACAGGGGTGGGGGGCGCCTAACAGGGGCTCAAGAGTGTTGAGCGGCAGGATGATGGTCAAGTGCAACGCTGAGACACTGCGAACTGAAACAGCAGAGTCAAGGGTAGACAGTGGTCTGGCCTGAGAGGAAAAGGAAATGGGCTAGACTGAAGAGGTCTGAACCAAAGGAGAAGTGAGGGAAGAGGACTGGAAGAAGCTAGACGGTAGGACAGGAACTCGAGCTCAAGGAAAGTGTTGAGGCAGCACCAAGAGGGCAGGAATGGGAGATAAGCGAGGGAGGGGTTAGGGAAAATGAGGGGGCGTGGTCAAGAGAAAAAGGGGCGGGGCCAATAGGGACAGGTTGGGGAAGAGGGAGGAAAGCCAGGGGAAGGATGAAGGGGTGAGGAAGAGAGAAGAGAGGAGGCAGGTGGGGGGAGAGGAGGGGAAGGGAGGGGGAAGTTGGGGGGGGAATGGTGAGATGCTAGGGGGCGGGGCCAGCATGCAAGCGAGGGAACTACAGTGGGAGAGCAGCTAGGAGGCAAGCAAGTAACGGGGCGGGGCTAGGGAGAGGAAAGGGGCGGGGCCACGAGGGAGAAGGAAGGAGGCAGGTGTGAGGGAGGAAAGAAGAGTTGGAAGGTTGGGTGAGAAGGGTGGGGGCGGAGCCTAAAGAGAAACGAGGGTGTGGGACCAGGAGGGAGAAGGAAGGAGGCAGGTGTGAGGGAGGAGGGAAGAGAGTAGGAAGATGGGGGTGAGAAGGGGGCGGGGCCGGGGAGAAGCGAGGGGGCGGGGCCGGGAGCAGCAAGGGGCGCACACTGACGGGGGTGAGGAGGTCCTGGGACAACGACCGGTTGGGGGAGGGACATATTACAAGGGCTATACGGGGGAAATTCCGGGGCTGGTGAGGTGCTGCGTGGGGTCTGAGTGGGATCTGGGGGCGGCGTGGGCCTCCCGCCGGCCGTACCTGTCAGACGGATCTTGATGCTGGAGCCATTCCTGCGCGTCCCGGGGTTCGACATCTCCCGCCAGCGATCGGGTGGCCGCGGATCCAGCGCCGCCGCCCCCCGGCCCGGCCCGG